TCGGCCAGTTCTTACTGCATATCATGGTGGCAGCCAACACTAATGGGATTAATTGGTCTTGACTGGTGGAATTGTAAAAGCACATACCTCCAAGGGTCAGAAACACTAAGCCTTAATTGAAATCAAATGTATATTTTTAAAAAGCATGTCCAGCATCAGAGACTCCTTTCTGTTTGGGTTTTGTTGTTATTAGCAATGGTATAGAAACCTGATCAAGAAGGTTTGCTTTTATTACTGCTCTCAATACCAATGTGTCCTTCTTGGCACTCCAAGTAGCTGATTAGAGGAGGGGATAATATTCAACTTGATTATTGGTTACACATATGGAATAAATCCCATTTTAATGGTGTCTAATGAGCCTTTCATTTCTAGCACCTTACACAAAAGCTTCTAATAGAAAGAGAAAGTAGTATTTCAAAGGTCATCTGAATGTTACTGAATGTCAACAATCCGTAATCAAGCCAATATATATTGATGATGATTGCAGTCCAGTCTGATTCTTTAAATATGAAATAATTTTCTAAATTAGCCAAGTGATGCAAGCGAAGGTTCTGTCGGTTTGAGGGAACTTGAAAATGTCTGATTAAAGTTTGTTACTTAAAACCAGCATTGAAGAGATTTTTCTGAGAGTGAGGCTTTATGCCATGAAGTGTTTTCAAGGCCCATGAGATTTACAGTTCTGTCTCTGAGAGTTTGATGCACCATTCTCCTGCATGCCTACAGTTCCATTGAAATGTGCAAATAGGAAACGTGGCCCCTCCCAGTGCTTTCTCTCCACGGAAGACTGTAATGGGCAGTTGCAGTGGGGGCTGGAGGGCTTACTGGCCAGAAGACCATGGTGAAAGCTGGTGGGCACACCTAGTTTAGGACCAGACATCTGCCTGGTGGCATGTTTGAAAGTTGTGAGTTTAAAGACTCTCTAGTGAGAGATTGGCATTGTGGGGGTTTTGTCTCAGTTGCTTTGTGAATGATGACTGTCCCGTGTGTCGTCCCCCCGCCCCCACTACCCTGCAGTGATGATTCTTTGAAGTCATTGCACAGTTGCTGCTAGACAAGTTCAGATGACAGGCTGAAGTGGAAATGGTGAGTTCTGAAGCACGTTCCCTCTGTCGTGGGATTTGCCTAAGGAGGTGGATGATGATCACAGCATACAGGGTATCTCCTAGAGGATTGGTTCCCACTTATGAACACAGGTCCTACCCCTAGAGTTGGGTTCTGAGGTGGGATCAAAGAATCCACGCTTCTGGCAAGTTCCCTGAGGATACTGGTGCTGGCCTTGTCCTCATGGCTCTGAGTACCATTGCTCAGGGTCCACTAGTGTGTCACCTGCCCAGCATACATACTGTCTTTGGCTTCTGTCATCTTTGCATGAATAAACATTGAGTTTTATCCATTTTTTTGCTTCCTAGCAGCAGACAGTGAAACATGTTCATAGGGCTTATTCAGAGAGCAGATACGATTTAGATCAAATGAATAGCAAGGAGAAAAGACTTAGCATGGACTAAATACTAAGTGAATACCATATCCCATGTCTACTGTCCCAACCCCATTATTGCTCTGTGTGGTTTTTTTCCTCTTTCTTAAAATCTTATTTTATTCCTTTCTCTTCCCTTTTGAAGTCTCCTGTTTGATTGTGGTTTGCTTTCCCCTCATCTTCCTGTATTATATCTGTTTTTGAGTTAAGGAAAAATCAGGACTTGTGATTCAATTCTGGGTTACTAGCCTTCAGATTCATGGCTTCAGAGTCAATCCAGGGAAGAAGGGACCTGAGATGAAGCTTTGAACCACAGCAGGACTAAAGATCAACAGTTGGTAGTGTGTAGCTCTCTGGGTATCTTGAACTGTGAGAACCACACTGATAAAACATGTATATTAAACCTAGGAAATATTCCTAATTCATGACTTCCCTCTATTCAGGTGTTTGTCTACAAGGTTCAACACCTTCAATAGCTGTGTGAAAGTCATGAAAGAAGTCTTAAGAGGATTAAAAGGCATCCATCTGCCCAGACTCTCCAAGAATGCAGTTTTAGCCATTTGTGATTTTTTTTATTAATTTATTTTTTTGTAAGTCTGCCTAAATGTTAGCTTATTTTTAAAGCATTTTCCTTTAACTGAACTTGTGAGTGTAGGGGTGAAACTGCCTCAGGGAGAGGAAATTCTCATGCTGAATTGCAAGGTTATTCCCATAATGAATGATAACACTTCATTATAAAATTGTTCGCTTTCACGCTCCATCCAGATGCCATTAGAGAAGCAGTGGCCCTCTTCCCTCTTACAGAATCCCAACAAGTCCATTCAGGAGACTCTGAGCCATTTGGCCTTAGGCCCTCCACCAAGCATCTGCCAGGCCTTGAGGACCTGGGTCCATAGATTCTTCAAGTGACTTTTTTCAGCAAGAGTGAGTGGTTGATGTCTATTAGGAGCTACTGCTTTCTAAGGACCGCCTGCCTTCACTCATACAGTTCAGTGAGGTCATGCTCTCTGTCTTTCTTTCCCCTGAAGATACTACCACACTTCTCTCTGTCCACCGGCCACTCTTGCCGTGGCAGAAACATCTGACGTCATCTAGAGTTCCATTATCTTACCGATTATCTTCTTGCTCTCCTGTCCTATCTGGAGGCCCATGCTGTCCTTCAGCATTGCTACTTCATGTGGTCAGGGTATTCTCTTCCTCACTGGAACTAGGAATGCCAGACCTTTCGTTTTTTGAGTATTGGTTGTGTAAATAATAGCAACCGGTTCAATTCTAATTCTAAGCAGACATTTAAATGGACATTAAATAGAAAGGATGAGGAATTGCTAGCTTCATCTGCCTTACATGTCATCACATGGGCAGGCTGAACCATCCAAGCACACGGCTGGGTTTCTCATTCTGCGGGAGAGGTGGACGAAGTGTCTTATGTGTCTGGTATTCATAGAAACCTTGTTATCCAAGCTATCACTTGTTCTCCACTCTCACATTGGGGCCAAAACAATGCAGCTTCCTCTGTAAGATTTGGGGTGACTGTAAAAGGAACGAGAGATTGAGTCCCACCCAATTCTGGGTATGTACCACTGGAACTGGCCCCAGAATGACATCTGCCCTAAGAAAGAGCCTTGCTAAGAAAGAGGCTACAGGCTCATCATGGCCAAAACCGCAAGTTCATTTCAGACCGAAGTGTGCTCAACCAGGTCATTCCAAGCAAAATAAACTGGGCTCCAGGACTTTGCTCTGATTCTTCATTCAGAGTGAACCTTAAAAGCAGACATTTGCTTGGCAGAGACCTTTTAGCTATGAATTAGGAGTTAAATTAGAACCCTTTGATCCCTGAACTTGAGATGCATTTGAAAATTTGCAGAACTAAGGCCCCATAAATCGCAGCCGTCTCCCCTCCCCCCGCAGTGTGGCATTCTATGCCCTTGGCTGTGAAAACGCCGTCAGCTCTGTCAGCGTTCTTTGTTCAGGCTAAATTTATTTTTTATGTGAAATAGAAATCAGGAAAACACCGAAAATTATTTTAAGCAAAATATCAAAATTGAAATAAACCAACATATGTCTGTGAGACATGTATAACTCTCAATCAAAAATAAGTGCAACTTTCATAAATTTCTTAAAATACTCCAGCCTGCAGAATGCGATCAGCTTAAATAGATGGAGATGTGACATAGTCGACTGTTCTTTCTGCTTCCTTCATCCTTTACTTAAGGATGAGACTTCCAGCCACCGAAACCTTCACAACCAGTCTTCTCCACCATCTGTTGTAGTCAGTGAGGGAACCAAGGCGGCTTATGAGGTCTGTGTAGGACATCTAAGTCATATCGACTAATTTTGAATGAGAACAGTCCTCCTCTTACCCGCCTTACTTGTTTCCATGTCTGTCTCTCCGTTCCCCCTTCATTTCTCTAAAAATAAAAAATAAAAAAAAAAAACCCTCAGCTATCTTAATCACTCTAAACACACCATGTTTTGTTTCCCATATCCCTAACTTGACTTAATAATGACAACTGTAGTGGATTTAAATGTGTTAAATTCACATAAATTTTTCTAGGGCTTTGCACCAAAGGTGTCTTCACTTCACCTTTATCCTTTGCCTGCAGGGTTTTCCCCAACATATTTCCTTCCTGTCATGTTAAATGTTAACATCATTGTGACCCTATAATAATTTACCCACAGACGATATATTAAATTAAAGCTACTCTCCATATATGTTATAAACAAACTACAAGCTTACATTTAAAAATCACCAATGTTTTATCTTTCTCTTATTCATATTTAGGTAGTGAAATTTCTAAAATAATAATAATAATAATAATAATAATAATAATAATAAACAGCAACAACAACAATAATATTAAATGGTTGCTTTATTTGGAATGATTTAGCACTAAGTGAATCCTTTTCTCCTAGTTCCCTTTAAAAGGTATTTTGAAAACTTACTCAGCTTGTCTTCACTCTACATGCTACCATTGATCACTCATGTGAACATTGAAAAACTTGGACAAATAGTCAAGGATCTGTCTGACTGACTTGATCTAGTGGATACCTGCTTTCCTCATCCTGTATTCTTAGACCTTCCCTGTCTTCTTTTTCTGTCATATATCACTCTGGTTTCTCTTGTTTGTTTCAGTAGTTGTTGAAAGTTTCTTCCTTTCAAGTTCCTTCAATGTAGACTAATTTGAAAATAGGAAAGCGTGTTAATTTTTTAAATAAATCTTTAAAATATACATTACTATGTTTCTATTGATTGAGCCAGATGGCTCACAGTGAATTTTCTCTGACATAAGTAATCACAGAAATCAGTTTGGGACCAAAATCTGGTATGGAACATGGCATGTATATACAGTGGAAAAGATGCAATTCACATAAACACACGGGTATTTTTAGAAGCAGGATTTGCTACTGTTTGGATTTAAATTCATCCTGCTGTTAGCTAAGTACAAACTAATGGTTGTTTTTCCTCCATCATCTCGGGCATTTGGGGGGTCCTTCTCAATAACCCAAACTTGTTTCCTTTTTATAGTTTGAAGGCTGCAAGAAGGCCTTTTCAAGACTTGAGAACCTCAAGATTCACTTGCGGAGCCACACGGGCGAGAAGCCATACCTGTGCCAGCACCCGGGCTGCCAGAAGGCCTTCAGCAACTCCAGTGACCGCGCCAAGCACCAGAGGACACATCTTGACACTGTAAGGATGGCGGGGGCTTCCCACCTTCCGGCCTCAGCTGTGTGTACCAAAGGGCCCCCTGATGGCAGGATGGTGTAGGTGTTTGCTGTCTGGTCTGCAGGTCACAGGGGCAGTGCCAAGCACAGCGGGACACAGGGAAGTGCCCACAGGGTGCCCTGTGTGGCTGCTGCTTTTTTATTTTTTTATTTTTTTATTTTTTTATTTTTTGTACTTGTGAATTATACCACATGTTAGATCTTTCTAGGATCAGGGTTATTTAGTCCCTTCTCTGTGGAAAGCAGACCCAGTTCAGGGGCTATCATGCAGTAGATGTTGGCACACAGAATGGCCACTCGAGATAATTAAAGTAATTATCAATGTATCAGGCTGTACCAAAATAGACAGTGTAGGCAGTTGGAAAGAATATGACATACAGTGTTTATGTGTTGACCCTGTGCCCCTGTCCTCTTGACCTGAGTTTTCAGCGAGCCTGGTGTTGAGCATGAATCCGGTCTTTGGCTTTAGAAAACCATCTGCTGTTTTCACCTGCAATTGATCTAAAAAGACAGAGCAGATCTTTCCCCGAGTTCATTTCATGCATGCTTTTTCTGTGTTAGCAGCCACACATCCTTTTTTATCAACCTTATGAGAACAATTGCGTTTTTATTTTCACACCCTTAACTCCCTTAATGCTGCTCCATTTTGCTCCTTGCAAATGCTGTTTCTGTGTAACTTTTGTCTTTTATTTCCCCATTATGTAGATAACGCTCCTTTGCATTCTCCAGCTTTGATGCCATTTTCTTTACAGGAGGCCAGGTAGAGGCTGTGTAATTTCGCTTCACTTGACAAAGCCGTTGGGATAAATGTATTATACACATCACAGATCTCTTATCCCACGTTCCTGCAAATAATGTATTCATGACAGTACTTTCTCAGTGTTAACATTCTGATGTCTATTATTAAACTACACCAGAGCCTGAATTTTGAAAAGATACTGTTATTTCTACACACCTTCTCATACATATTTAAGATTCTTTTGATGTTATAGTTGACATATTTATTACATTTTATATTAGTCTCCATTAGTCATATTTGTAGAAGTCATTTTAGCTATGTATGTCATATAACCTTTCTAAACAGAATTATCTCCTAATATGCATAGATGTGATGGTTTATCTGGTAAATACCTCAAACATAGTTAACACAATATGGGCACAGGATAAACTTTTACCGCTTTTAGCCAAATTGAATTCATTGATTTGTTCAGGACCAATGGAATAGAATAATACATAAATATAGGAAAAGTGCTCACATTTTTCAATGTACAAACATTTGAATAAATTATGTTAAATGTCCTATTTTGTAGTATCTGAAATGGTCTTAGTCTAATTCAGTATATTTTCCAGTTTGTCATTAAACCTTATCATGGGAGTGTGACCATTCATAAAATAAGATGGTCTTGAGAATTTTTCCACTTAACCAGTTCTCTGTAGTTTCAAAGCCATCCTTGAGGAAATGTGTTGTTTTCAACAGTACCCTTTGTTAGCACTAGTTTTAGCTAATCACATACAGCATTTTATAAAATAATTTCATCATTAAAATGTATAGCCCTTTTAAAACTTTTAAATAAAACCGCCTAAGAAAATGATTTTATGATTTGAATTCAGTGCAACATCTCTTAAAAGTTAGTCATTTTTATCTTGTTAAAGGAGATTTTTCTTTATTACATCTGTTAAAATTATCATTTTTCCTTAAGATCCAAACTATCTCCTATTAAAACGTTTACTTCTTTTAACAAATTGGTAAACCCTTAAGAGCATATAGAAATTAAGTGCTTGATTTCCAAAGTAAACTGTAGCTGTTTGAGGAATTTATAACTTAAATTTATGTTCCTTTCCATTAAGGTATCTTTTTTAACTAAACAAATTCTTTACTCAGGAAAATGGTTTTCCCCACAAAGAATATTGAGTTCATTATAATAACCCTGAAAATTTTTATTAATACATTTCTCTATTAACATCTTAAATCGAAATAAGAGAAGTAATTACTCAGGACAGGCAGAAAAGAATGAAGTGCCTCTTTTGATGGAGTATAGCATGCCATTGAAAGCTTGGGTAATCAGATAAAATAATGGGATAGTACTGCTGTCCACAGGGGAGCCTGACAGCTGATTGCGCATCCTGCCCTCAAGTGGCATCCGCATGGGAAGCCTCAAGGCCAGTTGGGAGGAATGGTGTGTATTAAGCGTTCTCCAAGGAGTATTTTAAATCAAATGTCAAATGGCATCCCCAACCTGATGTACAGTGTCTTAGATTTCTAGAGCACACCATTGTGATAAAGCTTTTTCCATGAAGTATCCTCTCATGCTCGAATTCTCAAGTGTGTGTACTCATGCTGAAACTACTTTTAAGGATGGATACTGGCTACTTGCTCCTCTGAGGTGAAGGCAGAGTAGGGAAGAATAGTTCAGGAAGGCTGGATGAACTCAGAAAAGATGCCCAGATTAAAGCAAAATCTCTGTTCCCCCAGGGAAGCCTCTTTTTTAGCCAATAATTGCTCACTTAAAAAACAAGTCAGGTAAGGGCCTGGTTCATCCATCATATTGTTAGAGTTTCATAGAATTTAATACAGTGCCCAGCACATTTTAGAAGCATAATCTTGGGTTATTCAATTAATCAATCAAAAATAAGTCAAGATCAATCAGTGAGTAATCATATCCAATATTCAAATCAGACATTTCAAATGAAATGATAGCCCATGATTCTATCTTGTTCTTGGGATGAAAAGAATGGCAAAATGTCACTGAGTTCTAAATATTGCTCCCAGCAAGCCAATAAGAAAGTCCACATGTTTACTCAGAAAATGATACACACATGAGAACAAGATCATGGCAGAGTAAGGAGGAATCCTACCATTAGGAGATTTCAGATCTTTCTCCTATTGCACCATACAGGCCCCGGTCTCATTTCCCAAGGAGATGATAAATTCATCTTGTCTACACAATTACTCCTGTTTTTTTTTTTCTTTCTTTTTTTTTGTTTTTTTTTTTTTTAAGTTACTGGAATAGTCAGCAGATTTTGGTTTAGCTTGCAGGAAAGTCATTGTCTCCAAACCCTTGATGATAGTGATGATGCAATGCTGACATCAGAATGCATTTGAGTTGTTCTTACCCTCCCACCCAAGGCATGCATTCATTTCTACCTTAGGTGCCAAGTGCTTGGGGACACCCCTCACATTTGCATGTACTTTCTATCTCTCTGCTGCACAGGAAATTTCAAAGGGCACATTTGCACCCTTGTCCATCTACTAAGGGCTCATTCATGTCACTCAGCCCTGACTTCTCTGTGACTAATAATATTACTGTTCTTCTGGCTGAGTTTTCATATGTCTGTTGTTTGAGACCTACTATTTCTTGCTCACTTTATACTAATTTTTCCTTCTTAATTCTTTCCTTCTTTCTGAATCAGGTCCCCTCTGAACCATACCCAGTCTTTTCTGGACTTTTCTACAGCTTCTTTACCTGAATCCTTAAAGAATCTGTTTACTGTTTCTGACAGTACCAAAGATTTTCTCAGGGAGATAACTGTAAGTATGTAAGTATAACTTCCACATTAAATTTCCACAAGAGATTTTATGGTTACACTGCAATGCAAGGTAATTTCTTAAAATCAAGGATAGGGCACCTCTGTGGGGCATTTTGAAAGTTTACACTTCTCATCACCATGATGCAGAATTCCTGGGTGTTCTAATTAAAATGCATGAGTATTACCCTGCACTTGACATCTGTCATTTGGTAGCAGTTCATGCTCTGAGCAGTCTGAATAAAGCATGACCCTGTTACCTTTGTGATTTAACCACAGCTCGCTCTTTCTCTCTTTCTCGTTCAGAAACCTTATGCTTGTCAAATTCCAGGATGTGCAAAACGCTACACAGACCCAAGCTCCCTAAGAAAGCATGTGAAGGCGCATTCTTCCAAAGAGCAACAAGCAAGGAAAAAGGTAAAATTCAAATAGAATTTTCCAGCCGGGAAAGGCATGTTTGAATTACTCTTGCAGTCACAGAGTTTTTGCGGAGCCTTGGAATCCCTCGACTTTGAAGATGTCCTAAGCTTGATACTGAGGAGAGACGTCTTCCCTGAGGCCTCAGCAAGGCTGTAGTTGGCACAGCTAGTACAGTCACATAAAAATTTCTGGGGAAGCTTGCAGAGAAAATTAATGCCAGCCACCAACCCCAGGAAATGTTAATAACAAAAAGCTTTTATGGAAATTTCTAGAAGCTCTTTCTGGAGAAATGCTTATTCGTAAAAGTACCAGCTAGCCCAAGTAATTTCCACTCTAATGAAGAACTTGGGTGATTTTCTACGATTTGCAGAGAGCATTCCCCATGGTTGGCTTGAGGGAAGATACTTGATGGGCACTATATATGAAATCAGGGAGGGAGAGAACAAAGTACTGAACCTAAATGACTTTGACATCAGTGAGGGATTTGTGCAGATTTCAAAATCTGCAGATACTATGATGTTACTATTTGGAATAAATGTCAGAGGTCATCCACGTTGCCTGTCTGCTTTGCTCTATGAACTTTACACAGCCCTGTGACTGGCTGGCCAGCCTTCCAAACCTTCTGAGACAGGGGATTTACTATCTCCCAAGTCATTTCATCACTGAGTTTTTATGGGCTGTGTGGTGGGTGTGGGTTCATAATCTTATTTATGTGGAGGTGGGTGCACATGTGTATGCACCTGTGGGAAGAGGCCAGAAGTCCAGCTTTGGGTATTGATCCTCAGGACCTGTCCACTTGCTTTTATGTCCTCCTCTCAAGTAGTGAATACACAAGCACATGCCACCACAGGTGGCTTATCAGTTCTCATGCATGCACATGCCCCCCCCCCCACATACGCGCATGCTCCACAGGTGGCTTATCAGTACACAGGCACAGGCCACCACAGATGGTTTATCAGTACACAGGCACAGGCCACCACACGCATTCACGTGCCACCACACGTGGTTTATTCCTCAGCCTGAACACTGGGCCTCATGCTCTCACCCCAAGCACCTCATCCATTGACTCCAGCACCCAAGCTTTTACATGTTTGAACATAGTAGGACCTTCTGTCCATGGCAGAAGCACATTGCATTAACTTGGCTCTTTTAGTGCTACATTTATACTAAGTCGGTTACCTGATTTATTTAAGGGGACTTTATAACAAATTTAAGGGCATGTTAAAACTTAAGTTATTTCAAGTCAGTGAACCCTATTGGCAAGGGTTTTCGGGTCACTGTGGCTTCTAGTCAAAATTGTGCATTGTTTTCATAGTTTTTTGGGATTTGATACTTAGTGTTGGGAAATCCTCTCTCTTTTTTTTTGATGCTGCATTTTTTTGTGTCTTGGGGTGCTAGCCTGAGTGCCTTTCGAGGGCTCACGTACAGACAGCACTTTAACCACGTCTCCCTTTTGAGAAGGAAAAGCACTCAGCTGTGAGGATTTGACAGGTTTACTTAACCTCTTACAATCTTGTAAATCAATTGTGATTGTTTTTTTCCTCTCGAAATATATTTAAATCTCTTTATTTTGGAATACCAATAAATTGTTATCCAGAATCCCTTGGCATGGTTCGGATATGACTTGAAGTTAGAAAAGCAGAGGGAGTTTCTTTAATGTATATAAAATTGAAGGAACAGTGGCTCCTCTTAAAATAACACATGATCACGATTGGATCCGTTAGAAGGATCATTGTCTGTTGGCTTTGTCGTGGTCTGTATCTTACAGATTCAAAGGAATAAATTATATTCATTTTGCAAAAGCCCAGTCTTCTAGATGAGAGAGAATTTTCATTCTCAGTCTGCCCATTCTCTACCTGCAAGTTGTCCCTAATCAGTGAGGTTTTACTAATGACGTAAGAGGAACACACCTTCACAGAGCCTTCTGTCATGACAGGAAATAGTATTAATCTCCGATGGAGACAGCAATAACGATGCTTACTGGTGTGGAAACACACAGGGCATTTTTAAATGTTGTTAATGCCTTTCATTGTATAAAAATGGTGTGTTTTGGCCTCATATAAAGGAAGAGTAGTTTTGATTGTGTGAACATTCCCGAAGCACTAATTGCAAAAGAAAGAGAGACCTTGAGACTGTAAGATAGGATTGTGTTGACGGTTCCCCGCAGCCTTTGGCTGGCAGTCTCGGTAAGAAAGGTGGGCTTTCAGACAGTCTGATGGTCTCATGTCAGCCATTGCAGCCCTTTCTTCATTTTGATTTATGTAAAGCGAAATAGTCCTTCTCTAATGTGTCCACGTTTGGGCAAACGGCTGAATCAGATTTGGTTGACTTTCCTTGTTCAGCTCTCAGTGACAAGTTTACAGTGTTGACTTCCAAAAAAGTCATTTCTAAATCTGTGGTGGTTAATTCATGAGATGAAATTGATGGAAGTTTCCTCATCTAACAAAAGAGGCAGTGTCTTTCCCAAGAGAAGCAGCTGCTGATAAAGCCCAAATCAGTCCATCCAGGCTGCTAAGTCTCAGGCCGATATCCCAGTGCGTTATATTTACATGGTACAATGTTGTCACTAGACCTTAGAGAGCTTCTAATTGCTCACTCACGTCAGGACTTGGTATTTGAAATATTTCCTGGCATCAGTAATAAAAAAAAAAGAAAGAAACAATAAACCTTTTAAGGCAGAATTAAGATTATTTACGACTTTAATTAAAAATTGAAAACTGGCATGATTTCAAAAGGAGCTTTACAAAAATGTGAATTCATCAAAACTAACCATAAAAATTCCAAGGTGATAAAGGCACAGTGGAGTAATGGGCCCAGCCGTAGGGAATTGTTTTGTTGAAAAGAGTAAAACTCTTTTCTGTCACACCCTGTTAGTCATGGACTTGTTTAATATCCCCCGCCTGCCTCTAATCCTCTTCTCAGCCTCCCCCTAGACACTAAATGACATTAGTTTGTCTTAACGTAGCCAGCTTTATGAGGCCCAGCTCTGAAGTAGGGGCCAGTAACAAAGCACCCATAAGATAATGTGTATCAGGAGAGGCAAGTTGCTCTTAAGTGGTGCCCTGACCATGGGCACAGAGTCCTTCAGACATATGACACATACCACTGAAAAATAAGATGGACCTGGAATCTCAGCCAAACATTCTTCAAGCTATATAAAGAAAGGAAAAGAACAGGAACAGTTTGGATTGTTGCATTCAGAGAGTAGTCTTTTTGTTCACGTAAATCAAGTA